GCTTTCCTGTTTGTATCTCTTGTGACTGAAATATAAGTTTAGACAATTAACCACGTCTGGTTTATCGTAGACACACACTGATGGTTAACTGCTGCCTGTGTGCCAATCACTGGAAGAATCATTGATGAGTGACTCACTCCTGCCTGAAACTCCACCAAGCTTCTCCATTCAAGCCTAACCTAGTATATCATCCTCTCATCAGGAGCCAACTGTGCGTTTAAAACATCATCACAAGCCAGAGACTAAATTGACTTTTGAATTGAATTAGATGCATCACTGTGGTGAAATGAAATCAGCCCTCATTGCACAGGCACCCTGAGGGTAGAGACCAGCTAGTGTTGAAACAGTTAGAGGTGTATCTATAATGAAACGTGCTAAATATTTAGCATAATGTCAAATCCAATTGCCTCTTATAATCCATCCATTCTTTGGGTTTAAGTAGGACTTCACCCCAGCTGGGTTGTTTTAGCGTCTCTGTCCCCTGGGTGATCCAGTTTCCTGCCACAGTCCGAAGACATGCAGGCCAAGTGAAGTGGAAATTTGTAAAATTGCCTGTAGATGTGACTGTGAGTGTACATGTGTTGGTCTGTATATGTGTCAGGCTAACGCATGCTCCAGATGAACAGATTAAATGATTCATCAAATGAACAGATGGATGGAAACATCAGTGATATGTACACCACCACATCATTAATATAATAACAATCACTGCAGTGGATGTTTTTGTTGAGATAAGAAGATCTTTTCACAATCTGGCTGTTGAGCTAAGCTGAACTAACTTGACATTTTCCAGTTACCTGGCAACAAATTAATTCATGTACAATTGAGTAAACTATTCGTACATTCTATCTAGTTTTTTTCATCCTGGTGCACCATAAAATGATTATCTTTTTTTTTTTTTTTTTTTTTTAATGTTTTTGGCTGAGGCCTATATAATGATCTGTAATACATTAAATCCTTAACAATACTGCTTAAAAACATATTTCAGTTTAAGTAAATGAAAAACAGGGTGATTAGTTGTGCAAACTGACATGTATTTGATTGTCGATCACATCTTCTGCTGCACAAATTGCATATTCATGTTGAAGCTACAGCTTTGGAACACCAATTGCCTGGCAGTAGAACATAACTAAGTAAATTCATTGAAGGACTGTATTTAATATTTTTAACTTCATATTACAGTAATTCTAAAAAAAAAAAAATCAATTAATGACATAGTATAAAAATTCATAGCAAAGTATGTCAGTAAAAAGTCATAGCATATAATGCTGGAAACAGTCAAAGAATATTATGCTGAAAGGCTGAAAGTTAAGTTTTTAAGTTAAAAAAAACATCACAGCATAGTAAGTTCAGGAAAAAAATCAAAAAAAGTGAAAAAAAGTCAGAGTATTATGTAAAAAGTGTCACTGTAGGCTGAAAAACAGTGATAATATGTATGTCATAAAAAAATTCTAGTGAAGCATGGTGAAAAATTATAGTCATAGTATAGTATGTTTTAAAAACCTCCTAAGAAAGTCAGTATAGTATAGTATGCCAAAAAACCCTTACAAAAGTCATAGTATTGTATGAAAAAATCATAAGAAAGACATGTCACAAAAATCATTGTATATTAGGTCAAAAAAAGTCACAGTACAGTATTAAAAAAACCTATGTCGAAAAAAAGTCCCAGTATAGTAAATAAAAAAAAAATAGTATGGTATGTGCTATGTAGTAAAACTTCTTTGAATGGTATGTCAACAGCAGCAAAAAAAAAAACAAAACAAAACAAAAAAAACGTCATAGTATAGTATAGTATATATAACATGTTAAAATAACAACAACAAAAATATAGAATAGTTTGTTAAAAACAAGGCATAGTATAATGTATAGTAGCATATAGCAAATAAAAACTTATTGTATAGCATGTACAGGGTTTTTCCTGGCTTAAAATGAGGTGGAGTTGGAACCATCCTCAATATGTGCACACACCAGCATGTGTACAGTACCTTTAACTGGTTTAAGCAAAGCATTTTATGAATTCTACTAAATATATGGTTGAAAAAGAAAAGAAAATTATTAATAAAGTATTAATAATAAAGTATGGCCTAATTGTTACATGGATCCCTGATGTTACAACCCGATATGCCTTAATCTGACTGTTGTGATGTATGAGATCTCTCTCTCCTCCTATCAGAGTGTGTGCATGTGTGTGAGTGTGATGAAAAATAGGTGGTGGTTGCTGATTGGTTGGTTCGAAGTGATTGCTGCCCCCGGATTAGTCCAACAGGTGACAACGGTATTTTCAAACCACAGCTGGCAGAAGCTCATCTCACCTTCACCTCTACCACTGCCAACAAAACCAAAATATGAATCCTGTGTTTTATAAGAGTTGTGTGTAAATCTATGGTGTAAGTAAGTCTTATTAGTAACTTTGTTAGTTGTACGGGAGCCATTTGATTAACTTGAATTTGTGATTTGAGGCTTGCAATTTTGTAGTGCTATTAGTTGTAAAAATTCTGTTATTCTTCCTTTTTCATCACTTTAAATATGCTTAAAGCATTTAAGTAGGAGTAAGCCCTTTTAAGGAGCTCAGGTAAGAAGCTTGTCTTTTGTTTAATTTTTGTTGTTTTGTTGAGTGTTGAGGAAGTCAACTTTTTGTTGTTTTGAACATGGCACAACTCTGAATTTTGAAATAAACCGCTACCTTTCTTTTCTGGTAAATACTGTGCAGCTGGACTTTCTTGGGAGTGGGAAGAGTGAGGAGTTACATGGCATGCTATGTGTAAGTTCTCCTTGATGGGACCATATAATATAGTATAGTGTGTTTATAGAAAGCCATGAGTAGTATGTCCAAAAATTTGTCTTAAAAGTCATAGTATAGTGGTTAAACAATAACCTCCTTGTACAACATGTCAAAAAAATGTGTAAGTGTGATAAAGTAGCCAGAAAGCCATAGTATAGTCAGTCAAAAAACTCAAAGTAAGATATGTGAAAAACAAAAACATACAAACCAAACTCCTAGTATAGCATATATAACGAAAAAAAATCACGTTGTCAAAAGTTATGAAAAAACGTCATAGTAAAGTATGTCATCAAAAAACATGAATGAACATCATACTATAGCATGTCATCAAAAATCATGAAAAAACGTCATAGAATATATATGTAGTATGTATCAAAAATCATGAAAAAAAGTCATAGTATAGGCTGTCGTCAAAAACCATGAAAAAAAGTCAAAGTATAGTATGTCGTCAAAAACCATGAAAAATAGTCAAAGTATAGTATGTCGTCAAAAATCATGAAAAAATGTCATAGTATAGTATGTTGTTAAAAATCATGAAAAATAGTCAAATTATAGTATGCTGTCAAAAATTGTGAGAAAACGTCATAGTATAGTATGTCATCAAAAATCATGTATAAAAGTCATAGCATAGTAGGTCGTCAAAAATTTCGAGAAAACAACTTGTATAGTATGTCGTCAAAAACGACATGAAAAAATGCCATAGTATAGTATGTCGTCAAAAATGATGAAAAAATGTCAAAGTATAGTATGTCGTCAAAAACGACATGAAAAAACGCCATAGTATAGTATGTCGTCAAAAATCATGAAAAAAAGTCATAGTATGTTGTCAAAAACCATGAAAAAAGTCATAGTATAGTATGTCGTCAAAAAATCATGAAAAAAGTCATAGTATAGTATGTTGTCAAAAACGACATGCAAAAAAGTCATAGTATAGTATGTCGTCAAAAATCATGAAAAAAGTCAAAAACGACATGAAAAAGTCATAGTATAGTATGTCGTCAAAAACGACATAAAAAAAGACATAGTATAGTAGTATGTAATCAAATATACTGAAAAAGGTCATATAATAAGTCAATAATGAAAAAATGTCATAGTATAGTATGTCATTAAAAATGATGAAAAAAGTCAGTATAGTATGTCGTCAAAAATGACATGAAAAAGTCATAGTATAGTGTGTTTTAAAAAATTGCGATAAAGCATTGTAGCATAGTCTGTCGTCAAAAACTTGATCAAAGTCATAGTATGTTGTCAAAAACTACGAAAAAACGTCATAGTATAGTGACAAAAATTGTGAAAAAATGATGTGGAAAAAATCTTAGTAAAACATGCCATTAAATGACATAGTGTGTTGAAAAAAGACATTTTATAAGGTGTTAAAAAAGACATAGTATAGCATATGAAAAAATGTCATGTTGAAAACAGTACATAATATAATATAGTAAGTCAGTTATAAGTCATAGTATAGTTTGTGAAATAAAGTCATAGTATAGTAAGTCAAAAAAGTAATAATACAGCCATTGTATAGTAAAAAGTCTTACCTTGAAAACCATCTCATCATGTTATCAAATAATGTAATTGATAATAATGTATCTGAAATATAATGAAAAGATAAATCTTAGCAGTGATAATTAAAGGGGGCAGGAAATATGACAATAAAGCAAAGTTCGAATAACAAAAATATGTCTGCAAAATATTGATAACGTTACCTTGCTGGGCAGATTATAGAGGTTAGAAGTCTGGAGGGCAAATGTGTCTTGGGTGGACATGCTATCTACTCATAGATAAAAATCCTAATCTGAAAAAGTAATAAGTAATGTTAGCTGTAGGATAAATGTAATGGAATAAACATATTATACTTCCCTATTAAATGTAGTAGAATATAGTAGCATAGAATGCAAAAATATTAAAGTACAAGTACCTTAAAATTGTACTTGAGTAAATGCACTTTGTTAACTCCCACCTGTGATCCTTGTCGAGTGGAGTCTGTTCCATCCAGTCCCTCAGATAAAACAGGAGTGTCAAGACTCCTGACCACAGACTGCATGATAGACAACATGTGCTTTGAAAACTGTCAAGTACCTGTACTCAATAACAATACCCAAATACTGCATGGAACTATGACACCATGTTCACTGCAGCTAACAGCTTTACACAGTTATCCTTTGAGAGTGGACAGAAAAAGAAACAAAGATGTACAACACAGTAAAAAGAACAACCATAGTTTCAAGGATTTTTATTCTTTACCGTAGAAACACTGTACATAAATTACTTTCTCTGAGACTAATATTGATGTACGGATAAGTGGAATTTCTCAACCTTCAAAATAAAAAAGATCAACCCATAAAACATTGTCAACTTGTCTCTGAAAAAAGATTGGTAGCATATGATGTTAACACTCTGTGTAAAGTTCCTGTTCTTTCCTTTAAAATGATTAAAGATGCCTTCCCAACCTTGTAAACACACATACACACAAAGAAAACTCCTCTATACGAGTACAGAGACCCACAATCAATGAGAAAACATCCACATCGATTTTTGATCTATACTGTTACTCATTAAAGTCACTGATGGCGATGCACTGTCCCTTTAAGGAGAAACGAGCAAAAACGAGGAGAGAAGCAACAATTAGTTACTACTCACAGCAACCCTGCCCCCCCAAAAGCCATGACAACATGTTTCTATTGCAAGCAATACTACTACCTTTGACCGATAAAAGCACAAGGTCTATGCATTATGAGGCTGAGTCACATTTTGCAGAAGTGGAGGACTCCTGGGCTGATAGGGGATCAGTGTTTTTCAGGACCAGTGAGCCCACTCGGTCCACAAAGAATCAGAAACAGCCGTGGCACCGTGGTTGCCCTGTTTCCTCACAGACCGCTGTTGATTGTAGTCTGAAACTGTACGATTTTATAGACCTTGTAAAAGACCAGGGGATGAGAAGGAGTGGTTTTAGAACTGACCAAACAGATAATAGATAAGAAGGAAACAAAAACACAACTCAAAGTTTTGTTCAGTTCAGGTCATGGTCCATTCCAGTGGTGGTGTTGGTGGTGTAGTAATAGTAGTAATAGTGGTATAGGTAATAGTATGTAAACATTTTTTTGTTCATTTTTATATCCCCTTTTTTGTCTGAAGCAAATGCAAGTTTATATATAAAAACAAAACAAAAAATCCAAACAGAAAATAAGTCTTTTTTTTCCTTCGTACAAATTGTAGTCCTTTTTTGTGCCTGTCTCTCTTAGAGAGAGTCCACAACAGTTCCATTCAATGGCTTCAGCCATGAAAACAATAGATCCTATAGACATGGCTCATAGAGGCCTATAACCCAGAGCGACGGGTCACAGCTGGACCCACACAGATATGATACCTGCAACATCTGTTAAGAATCCACAGACATTTGTTATATTGACTGCTCTGACAGTTTACAACTGTCTAAATGCTTGGGGGCTCATCTAGTTGTGATGGCTGCTGAAATGCTCTGTTGGCTATTTGAACGAGTCTCTACATCCCACTGTTTCACAGCTAGATAGCACACGATTATAGCACTCAGGTTAGCCCCGCCTACCAGAGAGAGGGGGAGGGGCATGCGTGCAGGCTTTTTAAAGGCAGACGACAGGGCGAAAGAAAGAGAGAAAGAAAGAAAATATAGATAGAAAAAGAAAGAGAGAAAAGGCATTGGTCAAAAGACTGAACTTGAAGGCTCATGAAAACGGTTTTAAACCATCACAACTAGCTTCGTAATGTTTTGGGCCATTTGTGTTGAAGTGACTGTTCACTATAAATCCTATTTTACCATCCAATAAAACTAATTTGCAAACATGTGGTCTCTTCAGTGGCTACTTTGAGTCTCAAGACAGTTCAGTCTGTGACATCCATTTTGTGTTAAACTGAACTTTGTTAGTCTCTGACAGTCACAGGGGGTAGAAATTAGACGTCTGTTGATGCCGTGTTACCTCCTCCCTATCTCACTCTGCCGTAAGAACTGCATGTTGTTAGCGCTGTCGGCTAGCTCTGGGTACTGCTCTATGGACAAGACGTAGTAGCCATCGTAACCCAAAACCTTCCCGCTGCTCAGCAGCTGCCTTTTCTCTCCCTCCGTCCACAGCCGAACTCCTTCCTCCCCATCTCTCACCCGCTGCTGTTCGCGGGCCCAGGCGCTCGACAGTGCCCTCTGCCTTGCGTGCTCCAGGATTCGCGCTTTCTCTTCGTCCAACGTCGTCCCATAACGCACGTGGAGTGCCAGAGCACCGTACTGCAGCTCCACGTCAGCAAAGCGCCGCGTTCTGCCTTTCATCACCGTCGTAGACTGGGACACTGTAACATTCACACCGTTTTCCAGTGATTTCCTGCCCGAGGTGAGCCGCAGCGCACTGAGGTCATTCTCAGGCAGGCTGGTCTTGATGAAGTAGTGAGTGTCTCGCCCCTCCACCGTGTAATGTAGGTCTTCAAGGTAAAAGGCATTGTTTAAGACTGCAGCCACTTTGATACAGTCCTCGTTGGCAATGTTGAGTGCGTTGGTCACCACACGGCCCTGGATCACAGCGAGCATGACTCCCTTGCCAATCAGAGACTTGACAGTGGCGAACCACAGCCAGGGTTTGGCGTGGTCTGAATGCCGCCGGCTGAGCTGGATTTCTGGCATGCGCTCAAAGGACAGGAAGGCCCGAGACTGACGAGTCACCTCCTGCTGCACACCTGAGATGGACTGTGGACGAGAGACACAGAAAGAAATGTTTGGCTTCATGTGCTGCATGACATCATAAGAGTATAATAAGTACACTAAACAAACACTTTATTAGAGCAACATTGCATGTTAATAGAGACAGTAAGGAAAAATGCATGGGTTGGTTACTTCATCTGTTAATAAGGTTCATACATTACACAGATTCTTAGGCATTAGTACGGAATTAACAGCATGTCTTTGTGTTATTCTTCAGTTGCTAGAGGGTCATATTTCCTCATCACATGCTTTGGAGCTTTTACTGTCGCAGGTCTCCCACATCAATTTTTCGCGTTAATCCGCCATCCGAGGCAACATTAGCTAGCTAAGTGGAAAAAAAATGTTTGTCTCTACCTGATGAAGTGTGTGGTGATATTCAAATGAAATGGGTCATTGAAAACATTTAATTTATTTGACGTTTTTATCCATGTGAGTTCTTGAGCACATTTAGATATGTAAATGAACAGCTTTGTAAATTACCTTTTTTTTTTTTTTTTTTTTTTTAATTTAATCTAACCAATTGGCAGGACCTCTATAGCCCACTAGATGGCACTCCAAGGATTGAGAATTGCTGCTGTAGCTTTAGTACATCACCTACTGCTTACCTACTACCTACTAGATTTTTATAATATTGTTTTATATGGCTGACAGTCACAAGTTCAAGGTACTTAAAAACCTTTAAGGTAATTATAAAAGTTTTATTATTATTTTACTTTGCCAAAATCATAATTGTTTCCTCATTCTTTAACCACTGCCCTAACAAAAATTAATGCAAAAATTAAAAATCTTTGCATTGTATGTCAAAAAAGTTACGGGATAGTTAAAAAAAAAAAAAAAAAAAAAAAAAATTCATAGTAGGCTATAGCATGTCAAAAACACTAAAAAGAGGACATAGTATTGTATTAAAAAAATGTTCATAGTATAATATAATGAAAAAAAAAACGTAGTATAGCATGTTAAAAAACAAAAAAAAGGTCACAGTATAGTACGTCAGTACTATAGTATTTTGAGAAAAACCATTGTATTGTATGTTAAAGAAAGGTCATAGTATAGTAAAACAAAAAGCAAAAAAATTCAAAGCATACCATGTTAAAAAAATAAGTCTGCATAGTATATTAAAAAAAACATCATATAGCATGTTGATAAAACAAAAAGAAGTCATAGTATTATATGTTAAACAAAATTTAAAGAAGTCATAGTATAGTAGTATGTTGAAAAACTCATAAATAGTCATAGTATAGCATGTTAAAAAACACTAAAAAAGGTCAAAGTATAGTATGTAAAAAAAATCAGTATAGTATATGTCATTTGACAGGATAATTATTATCACGCTCTTCGTTTTTGTAGGACGTTAGGACAAGACTTCTTCCAGAGTGGAAAACAGAAGAAGAACAGTGATTACATACAAATGTGTCTAAGTGCTGCATATTTATATGTACTGTTGCTACATGACTGATTAAAACTAACTGTAACTAATGCATTTAGCTAGACACTGTTAAGATTCATACTCAGAATGTAGCTTTTACTTGTGCTGTTGCTTTGTTGTTTCCTTTAAATAATATCTGTAGGTGTATGTTATTGTTATGAGATATACCTTAGGTGTATTACATTTTGGTTTTCCTTCCCAGGGACTCGGGGAGAAAATGAGATTTCTGGCTGTATCCTTGGACAGTGTATCAGTTTACTGTTTGTCTTTATTGCATTTGCTTTCTGAAATAAACCAGAATAAACTAGAAAGGAACAGTGTCGCAGCAAAGCACAGGCAAGACGATATCTATAAACACACACACAACAATAAAAATCACACGATAACTATTTAAGAGGAGCTCAACTGTTTGTATGCGTATATACATGTGTGGGCTTGGCCGATCAACACCCCTTTAACTCCTGAATTTCCTGGTGAGAAAGGCCATTACCGCACTCAAACAGCAAAATAAGTCCAGTTCATTCACACTTCAAATAACACATTCGGTCAGTCCAAGTCTCCCTCCTCTTCCTCCTCATTTTCTCTGGTTTTCTTCCAATTCCTTTCTGAATCTGCTGCATCTATTTTTGTCCCTGTCTTCATTAAGCAGTGTTCATGTTGGTGTCTTTATTTCAGCGAATTTCAGCACAGTCTCTCACTCTGTGCACAAGTGTGACTTCCTGATAACCTGTCCACCAAACAACTGTATAAATAGCAGCTATAACTGAATGAGCGTAAGAAAAGAGGAAGGAGCAGAGAATGCAGCTTTAAGCCGAGAAAGGCATGAATGATTGGTTTTGCTGGATGACTCTTTATTGTCTCCTCTCCTCATTATTCTCACTCCATTTCTTCCTACAGTTTCCTCTTTCCCCTCCATTTCCTGATTTTCTTTTCTCTATGAATGTCAGGTTGTCTCTTGATTTCCTCACCGTTTCACCATCCCCTTTTCTCATGTTTTTAACTGCTTCCTTCCCTTCTCCATTTTCACTTTGGAGTTTTGTCTCAATTTTCTGAAGTCTTTTGCTTCACAACTTCTCATCTTTTTTCTTGTTATTGCAGTTTCATTTTATATGTATGGAATTTACCTTTTTTTGTATTGATCATTTTATTGTGTATTTAGTGAAACTTTTAGTGAAACTGAATTTAGTTTCGTTGGCGGTTACAGATAGTATAGTACAAATTTATGGTATCTGCGAGATGCATGTATAGCACAAAAGCAATATATTGATGCATTTAATTTTTCCTTTTTTCTTTGTATGAAGCTAACAAATGTATGCTGTCCTGCCCATTGTAGGGTGAAATTTGAATAGTTAAAATATATTCACATAATAATTTTATTTGCATTTTATCTGTAACCATTTATCCTTTTCAGGGTCACTGAAGCTGATTCCAGCTGACACTGGGAAAGAGACAAGGTACACCCATGAGGAAAGCAGGGCTGACACATAGAGACAGACAACCATCTATTCTCATAAAGTAGAGCCCTGTTTCCAGTACCAGTAGAACTGTTCTGTACCGTCCCCATTTTTGGTCCCCCTCTGTTGGGGTACCTAGCGCACAGATCTGGTACTAAAAGGTGGAGCTGTGAACACTGCAGTTCATTGATTAGTCAATAGCGGATGGTCACTCTGCTCAGGGCTGAGCTGTGGCTGGTTTTGAGGTTTTTGTAACCACTGTTCATACCATGGCAAGCTTACATACTGTAACTATAAAAAAAGGATGTCTTGCTGCCTCTTTCAGCAGCTGTAGTCTGAGAAAAATAATTCACTGGGCCAACTTCAGGCAACTTTTAAGGTGGAACGTTTACTTGTAATGTTACTCAGTGCATGAGATGATGACGTAAATCCATCAACACACCTTAAATTTCAATGTCACAACTTTGGCCATTAATTAAGTTTTAAGGACATACACATTTTATTAATGAGTGGATCTTCAAGCGTTTAAAAGTATATATTAATTTTGACCAGATTATGTGAACTGCATATATTCCAACCCTCACTTGGAGAAAAAGAGCGCCGTCCCTGTGGGCTACAACAACACTAAACCCCTGAGCTTGCCTGAGAAGGACTAAATGCACAAACCCGCTATTTTTAAATATCCGATGGAGAGAGACTCTCACTGCAGCCTGTTCTATTTTGTTCTGAAAATGTCGGTGTTCAGCCGCTTTCTGTGGACGATAATCGAGGTGCAGACTGATAAAGGAGGAAATACAGTGAGTGCTGGACGGAGCAGTGAGTGACAATAACACCGCCCACATTTAGGAGTACTGTTTGTGGTGGAAATGCTAGGGCCTAGGTGTGTTTGGTGGAAACGGGCTTTATAGTCAACATAGTATCTTTGTGTCTTAGTTGGAAGCTGGAAAACCTGGAGTAACCATACAAACCACTGCTCCATTGTGCCGCACAATAATGTCATAAATAAGTACAAAGAAATACTTTTAATATAGTCATGACTAGTTACTACATCAAAAAAATAGCTGTCACATCAAAGGTTGAAGATTTGAGCAGCTCCATATGGTTAAATGTGCATTTGCTATGATGACAGCGCACAGTCTGCTGCTAATACAACAGTCATCTACATCTGTGATTCTCTTGACCCAAGAGTTCTTAGCATACTTACAGGCAGGTCATCCCACAGCTGGCTCTTTTTCATCTCCAGTGAAGGCTGCGTCAGGTCAAACTTGGGAATGGGGAATCCTGGGATTGCGTTGTGGAGATGGAAGCCAAATGTGACCAACCAGATATTGACATCTGCAAAGAAAGAGAGCAGTGGATGTGAAAAAGAGAAGACATAAAAGAAGCTGAAGAGGGAGTTCAAGGCATGTTGCTTTGATGAAAGAGGCACCAGCTGCACAGACTGTAATTATAAAGACAGTGGCTCTGTATATTTCTATGCCTTTTTACAATAATTCCAGATAAACCCGCAGCTTCCAATTACTGCAATGCAAAATCTATCTGACCCAAATCATTATCATGATCATTTCCTGTCTCCATTATAAGTTTATGTTCCACCTGGCAGATGGAAAATCAAACTTTCTGCTGCTTTCACCACACACTTTAAAGCTTTTAGGTAGTGTTGGGTAATGAAACAAAATTACAAACTATTCTGGAAAGAATCAGGAAGCCTTAACATGAAATTAACTTTTATCAATAAAGCATGTCTAATAGCCTACACCCACTTTTGGACTGCGGCCCACCAGTTGGAAACCACTGCTTTAAACAACTAATAATCTACAAATAAATGAAAGAACTGATTAATTCAAATATGTATGGTTATTCTTTTTTTTTGTTGAGGCTGTAACCCAAATTTACATTTTCAGTATTTACAGTATGTAAAGTAAAAGTATTAACCAAAGTGAATAAAAGGGGACCCAGAATAGGACTTTGCAGGACAGCTTTCCATAAACCCAGACAGAAAAACTATCTTCTGCCTCTGTTGTGCTTTTATACTTTGAATGTTTTCTTGTTACCTGTGACATATTCTTTGACCTGATGAACCTTGCTGATGGGGTTGTTGCCTCGGAACATGTAGAGGTTGAAGGGCTGGGGATCTTTGCCGACACGTGTCCATGTGCTGATGTCAGGAGTCGTCCACCTTTGCAACAAACACTCTAGTCAGATGTGACAGTAACAAAGCTGGAATAGCATCCCGCTGTACAGAACAACCTCTCATGCTTGGACTGAAAGCGAGTGAATACCTTCCAGCAGGGATGTCGTAGTCTCTGTCTCCAAAATGCAGCAGTCGGGTCAGAGGATCATACAGGCCTCCATGGAAACCAATTACCAGCACAAAGTCTGGGTTGGAATCAAAGTAAACCTCACCATATGCTGTGTACTGCACCTACAAACATATACAAACAAAGATTTATGATCTGATATGGAGACACAAAACCATTTCATTAACAGACTTTAAACAGATAAACGAAATACACTCATGTGTTTCTTTCTTTGCAAGGAAAAAAAACACATTCACACAAAGGTTATTGGAGTTAATTAAAACTACACTAAAAGCTATGTGTGAAAAACACGTTAGTTAATTAAAATGAGAATAAAAACTAGATCCAAAACCAACACAATAAGGGCAGTATAAGCACTGAGTGCTTCACATGAAAACTGAACACAAAACAGAACCCATTAATACAATAATTGAGTTTTAAAACTATAAATCATAATAAATCATAAAATTATGTAAGATTTTAAAAGAGTTGCAGCAGTGTGAGGCATAAATTGAAAGTAAAAACATACAAAGAAAGAGTTTCAGACCTGTTTTAGGAAGTCGGAGCTATTTAAAAGCTAATGTGAACAAATGCATTTTTTAGCTTTCTTACAACTATATTTAACAAGCTAGCTTCTCTGATATCTAGGTAGTGTGCTCCATAGTTTTGGGGTGTAATTGACAAAGGCTGCATCCCCGATCTCCTTCCAGCTGTTGCTGGGAACCTCCAATAAACCAGCAGCAGATGATCTCAGTGATCTTGGAGGCAAATCGTTAACAAGGGAGTTAGCAATGTAGCTCGTAGCCCATGTAGGGCTTTGTATACAAGGAGGAGGACGTTAAAATCAGTTCTAAATGTAACAGGATGTCAGTGCAGAGCAGCTAACACTGGCCTGATGTGCTCTCCTCTTGGTTCTGGTTAATATCCAAGCGCAGAGTTTTGAATCAGCTGAAGTCTCTCAGTGGTGTTTTTTGGGAGGCCAGTAAAAAGTGCATAACAGTCGTTGAATCGGCTTGAAATAAAGATATGAATCAACTTCTCTGCATCTTTTTCATTCAGAAATGGCCATACCGTATAACTGAAACTAAACTGAATTAAAACAAAAATTAAAAACAACATGAAAATAAAAACTAATGGAAAATACAAAATTATAATAACTCCGATTCACACATACGTACCTGTTTAAGCAGCAGTCCATTGTTGCTGAAGACAGCCAGTGGCGTCCCAGTGTTATCACATGCAATATAAAACTCCTCTCCACTGCTGATCTCCATAGCAAACACATGGCCCTGGGCAACAATAAACATTACAATTACAAACACTTTGAATATTATAATAATAATAATGCTAATGAGTTTTATTTTCGCTGTTGTATTCTAACTCCACATGGGATAACAGGAGGCCTATAAAGAATGACATCACTATTGTCATTAATTATTGTGGGTCCTGGTGCTGCTGATTCAATAACCATATTCATCACAATAAAAAAACGTTCTTCTCTGGCTGTCACTGTGTTACATGTTCCCTAACCTGTGAAGCATTTAAAGCAGCAAGAGATTTTTCGAGAATAATATAAAGTGGGACTGCTACAGAGAAAACCATCACCTCCTCTCTAATTGAGATGCTGTACATTCACCATGTTTTCCCTGTGGTCACTGGAGGGAAACCTGCTGCACGCAGACTATCATAAATCAAAAGTTGAGAGTGAAAAACCAAAAGTGACTCATAAATAGCAGCAAGTGGGAGCTCTGTCCAGAGAAAGCTAGACTCCTCCACATTCAGTGCTTTGCCTGTCTCGAGCTGGAGATACAATTGAGTTTGGGATGAAATTTCCAAATTTGTACATACTGTCTTTGTCACATTTGATCAAATACAGTATGTTAACAATAATGTTGCCATATTAAGAATATTTTCCCAGTGTTTCTACCTGCAGGTCGTAGTAGAAGGACGTGATCTCAGAGCTGGAGTGGTTATAGACGTGGGTGATCCTGGTAGGGTAGTTCAGGTCAGCGTAGAAGAACTGCAGGTGTTGGCCCAGGCTGTTCCTTGAGGCCACACGCCGACTCAAACCGTCGTAACGGTACTGGATGGTCCAGCTGGCTGCTTTACTGTAGACACGAACTAGAAGACCTGAATTACAAATGATAAAAAGGAAGAATAAGGATGTGAAGAATGACGAGACATCTGTGATGGCCAAGGCAACACTAAGTAAAAGCCAGAAGTGCACACTCTGTTCACTACTTTGTTAAGTACACTGGTTAATTCTATTTGCAGGCAACCGCACCTCAAACAATTCATATCCAAATCTAAACCCAAATCTTTCACACTGTATGGTTTGAATGAGTAATTTTCTGTTATATTAATCATTTTTGTCCTTCTTTGTTTGAGTTAGGCCCAATTCCAATCCGGCCCCTAAAGACTCAAGCCCTGAACCCTCACTGACTTAACTGATGTCAGCTGTAAGTGACTGAGTGCGAGAGTCTGAAAGGGCTCCGGATGCTACAAATAGGAATGGGACAGCACTTATCCCCCTCTCTACAAAATGTTGTTAACATTGGCGGCTCTGGGCATGATCATTTATCGGTTATTGTCAGCATATATTCCACACACAAAGAATATATATCTATATCTATATATCTATAGATAGATAGATAGATAGATCTATCTATCTATCTATCTATCTATCTATAGATATATATAGATATAGATATATATTCTTTGTGTGTGGAATATAACCACTGGTATTCCTCTGACTTCATGTGTGTTTTAGCCTGGTTCCAGACCATAGACCCCGCCCACTCAACTGAGTAGGCTTGCATCTCTGGTCTGGCATACTTCAATGAATTTGCGATTTATCTCGTCCAAACGCTGGACGGACCAATGAACGCCGGGGGTCTAGCGATTAGCCAATCAGCGCCACGCTGATGTCAAGCTGTACGCCGGTGGGTAACTGGTGAGGATAGTAACAATGGCGACCGCTACAGACCCTACAGACCACATTAATGATGCTATCGAGGTATTTCGCCACTACTCGCGTTAATGGAGGACCAAATTAAGGAAGCTGCTAAACTGGATTTAACGGCAATGCAGCTGGGCGTGCACGACGACGGAGACATTTTAAACGGGCAATGCTCGCTTGTTTTCGGCACCCCCAAGGCATGGATACTAATGACGTCAGATTCTGGGTGAGTCGTTGATCTCTACTGATTGGTTAGGGAAAAAATCAAATTCCCTCCCCCTTGTAAATCGCCTTCAGTGGAAGCCATGTCAGACTGAAGGTTCTGGGAGCTTCAGTCTGACACTCCGGTTATGTGTGTTTATGTACCATTTTAAATCCTTGTTAATGTAATGTTTCATTGTTTGTCTATCTGTTTTTTTTCGCTCTCCTTCCATAACATTACCGTTTGCATATCTGCCGACCGTGTTTTCGGGTTGTTTTTTTTTTATAACACTTCCGGTGTTCCAAGGGCAACCCCTGTATTTGACGTCACAACGCTATGAACTGTGGGTAATTTCCTTACCGTAAGTCCGCATCGATGCTAACCTACGGTAAGGGGGCATAAAGGGCTCACTCACTGACTCACTGACTTGACAATTTGACAATGGGACAGCCCTCACACACTCATGCACTTCTCACGAACGTGCCTCTAAGTCAGTGAGTCTGTAAGGGATCGGACTGGAATTGGGCCTACGTGTGCTGGTGGGGGATCTCTTCCTGGAGAAGCAAAAGGCGTGGCCAAGGGCAGAGAACAGCTAAATCCTGTGGCCAGCTCTTCAGGCAAAACCATCTACTGCCATGTCAGAGGGGGGGATTTGGGTTTAGTTAGTTATTTCCTTTGTATTAGTTCCAGTTAAACAACCATTTTGTTTTCCCCTTTTTGTGTTTGATGGTTTGGCCGAGGCACTATATATGTTTTCTCATGTTTTTAATTCTGTTAAGTCAGTTTGTTCAGTTAACACCTTATTGTGTTGCTGTTAATTTAAGTATGGCTCTATTTTGTTGACCTCTTTTATAGGCCTAGCTATTAAGTTCTTGGTTTGTACTGTTTTTTTCATCTTTTGAGTAAATAAAAACCCTATTTTTTTCCAACAAACTCCTGTTTTCATCATTGCTTCACTGCTTCGTCCCTGGCAACAACAAATTAGATGTTGCTTCTAAAAGCTTCTATGTGTAGATTTTAAAAATTGCTGATTTTAGTGGCCCCCAGTTGTAGTATAAATTTCATAGGAAGTGTTACATTTTCCTTAAATTTTGAAATGACATAATCACATTACATATATACACATTGTGGTGTTAAGTCAGGTATAAACTGGGTTAAGTTTGTCACACTAGCATTTAAAACATCAAAGTCTTGTGGCAAAGTTAATTCATCTAATTGGAATCACCACATTTACAGGCTGAGTAAGTCCATGTGAGTCTTTTGTGTCAAGTTCAACTTTGGTGAATTTTGACACGAGTTGTTGACCAATAACAAGCTGTCTTGACAGCGCTGACCTTGAGGGAAACAGAGAGCCACAGAGAGCAAAGTGGAGGAGGATATTATTGTTACTACTATTAGCTGTGTTGCACCAGCCTCTTTTATTTAACCCTCATCCATTAGAGTCTTCACTGCTCCACAAGTAATGGTTTTAATAATAAGACAGTTATGAGACAGGAGCTGACAGAACAGAACTCTTAAATAAACTGTGTGAATTTGTTGTCTAATTACAGTAGCAACCATGCTACTGAGCTCAATAACTGGCAATAGCGAGCTAGCTACCTTGGAGTGCTATTATCACCATGATGTATAAAGAGAACTGGACACAGCATTTAAGCGGAGCCTTATTTATTCCTATGAAAGTTGCCCAGTGTCCCACAAAGCCAAAAAAGTTCACCTTTCCAGGTATAAAATTATCCAGATCTTCCACATCGTTGAACCCACAAAGCAAATGCGCTAGAGACTTTGACTCTTCAGGGTTAGCAATCCGCTAAACTGAATGTTGAAGCTCCTCTTCACTTTTGAAATGTTATTGGACCAAATCAGAGTTTATGCTTGCCTTTCGTTTTGACAGCCAATATGATCCATGATATTCCAGAATTCCAGCCATATAGAACAACTTTACAACTACGTATGTTTTAAATAGCCATACAATAGCCTATATTTAAACAGCAATAAAACCCACAAAAAACCCCCCACAAACGTTATGATCCTCTTTTCATTCTATACCCGTCAAATTCAATATCTTAAGATAGCTAAAATAAGATGAAGAAGCAAACTGAAGTGGCAATGGCTAAGGAGGAAATGGATTTGGGAGAGGAAGTGCCAGTCTTCACCGTAAAGTCCTCCGCGATAACATCCAACGAATCACTAAGCCCGCTATCCCCCATCTGGCTCCCTGTGGTAAAGCATATCTCTGGTCTGATCTACGAGGATGCTCAAGGTCATCCTTCAGAAGGTGATCCATGATGTAGCTGCCTACAACAAGCATGCTTACTTCCATGGATGTGGTCAAGGCTCTGAAGAGGCAGGGATGCACTCTGTAAGGCTTTGGTGGATCAATAGATACTTCCATTTTTAAAATCATAAATCTGGCCTGCACGACATACGTTTATAATTAAGTTGTCCTGGCAATATATCTTATAGGTCACACATTAGAAGGCTATTCAATATACTGTTACTTAATTACATTATTTATTTGGCATATTTCCCACCAGACAATTTGGACATTTGTATTTTAATCTGCCAGACAACAACTCGTAATACTGGCAAAGAGCCAGCACATGCCAGCTAACGTAAACCTCAGACTGAATGGATCGAACATCTTTTTCACAATGTAAGTCAATGGGGAAAAGTCTTTTTGGGCACAATGGTCTGGCTTAACGGACCCAGAAGTTGTAATTTTACCATCCACTATGTCATACTTGCTTCAAACACCCGCTCTGTTCCTGGGGGCTTGTTGTAACTGACTAGCACCAGCATGTTCCCAGCTGGTAGCAGTTCACCAACCAGCCCTGCTAGTCGTCACTATGTCACTAAGCTTCTAGCATGGCCTAATTCAAAAGTATGCACAGATGAACTTCGCTGTGGCACATTCTGGTGTGAGTGGGCCTCTACATTGCTATGTTGGGCCACCAAAATAATAATTCCCACCTTTGGAGTTGTACTCAAATATCTCAGCTCCTCTCTGTCTCAGGAAACCGTCTTCATCCAGCCTGTACTGAACATCTCCCAGACGGGTGATTCTGTCCCTCAGATCGTAGCGTAGAGGAGTTAACCGACCACTGTTGCCTGGGTTCAGCAAATGCAGGTTCCCGTTCAGGTCATAATTATACCTGGAATGCCAGAAAATTATACTATTAACATTTGACATCATCAAACAATGGGACTTTTTTCAGTCTTAATGTAATGATCCTACCTCCACATCATCTTCTCATTGAGGGAAACCGTCTGCAGCTGTCCATCAACATCGTACTCATAACCATATTTGGTTGTGTTCGCAAACGGTCCAATCTTGATCTCCCGCTTGGTGACTCGGCCCATGTTGTCGTACTGAATGGTGATCCAGTACATCAGAGACCTGAAGATCTCGTACTGGATCTCCTTGATGCGGCCATGCTGGTCGAAGTGTTTGGTGTAGGTCATCACTGCAGTGGAGATGATCTAAGACAGGAGAAAGGTGGTTGTTTTGGTGACAGTGTGCTGACGTTCTATCACCTGTCCATTTTATGACTATGTGTTGCGTGACCTTCCATCGGTTATGCCCTACGGAAGGAGACGTGTTGGATTCTACTTACAGAGATATGTCCAGCTGTTCCGTCACAACTAACATTACTAATGAGAATGCTAGCAAGCAGTTAGCAAGAGTGTAGGCGGAATAACCATGCATTAGCCTCTTTGGCCTCTGTGACACAACCAAATCTGAACACAACTGAGCAGCTGGAGACATATGATATATACAGGTGTGAATAGCGATGTGTCCACTTGCGCCTAATTACCGAAATGCATGTTAATACTAGGAAAGACTGGTTAAAAAAGTCCTGCTGATTAGACTCCATACAGAGACTGAGGAGACGACACATGATTGACCTTGCAAGACAGGGCATTCAACAAGTGTCATTCAGGAAGGTTTATTATCTGGCTTCGTAGACACAAACTGAGTCCTACTTGAGAAATTCATGTCAATAGCTCAGGGTCGGTTTATCAAGCGTCTCAGAATCACTCCTAAGAATTGAACTGAAGGTTAAACTTCGACTAAAACAGTAATTTGATATTTCTAGACTCACTTTCAGTGAGGAGTGGCAGAAGAGAGAATCCACCGATTGCTTGTTGATGCTGTGGCAGTAAACATCATTCAGCCACTACCTGAGTGCTGCTGAGGGAGATTACTTTCTGCATCCAATTTGGAGCAATAAAATAAGGTTTTCAATTTTAGTATTTTTTTTTTGCTTGTATGTGATGGATAACATGGAATTCACCTGGTTTCACCTCATTACTTTTCGCCTTTTTTCTCCCTCTCACAGTTCAGTGTTTGCGCTCCAAAACAAAAATTCACTCGTGCATTTGATTTATTGAGGTCTTTAACATATGTTGTTTGCAGAATAAACAATCTGAATCAAAATGATAGGTACATTTATTGGTCACTGTTCTTGAGGGATGCATATTACCTGTGATTTGCATAACATAATGCATCATTCTGTCATATCATCAGTAATGTAGAAAATGCTGTGATATGATGCCATATCTCCTACCACAATGACTAACTCTTGATGCTAGGTGCAGCTGTGAGGAATTTCAGTTTTCAGGGACAAGGGAGGGCGAAGCAGTAAAGTCACACATTAAGTTTTTTACTGAGTGTCACCATGATTCACCTGCCTGCAAACCAGGAGGTGGAGGGCTGTGGGTGAAGGTACACACACCTATGAATAGAATACTTATTCACTTAAAAGATCAGATTAAAGATGTATAATGTGTCGTTGTCTGTCCCTTTAAATGCCTGATTTATATCAAAGTTTCACCTCTAACTTCCCAAGATTTATGAGGTACTTTTTCTTACATATCCATCATCTAAGGACAATTCAAATTAGTGCAGCTAATCTTGTCTTACCTGATTGATATCATAATAGATGACTCCAAACTTCCCAAACTGCTCCACTTTCCCAGATATATCATCAAACTGGTAGAGATCGATCGGCAGAGGTGTCTCATTGATTACAGCCTGCATGCTGGTGACTCTGAAGCTGTTGTCGTAGGTGTAGTCGAAGCGTGCGTTAACCATCCCGTCCTCGCTGAAGCGGAATATCTGCCGGTCGACCAGTGGGCCGATCTGCCGGTATCGGATGGAGCAGATGAAGCCTTCGCTCTGTAGGTTGACGGTCTTGAGCACACCAGCGGTCTCATCGTATGTGAAGCTGACCCGTGTTGAGTCATAGAGGATCTCTGCCAGCTTGTTCTGATGAGATAAATAAAACAGAGCAGTATGTGTTTACATTAATGGACTCTGTAGAATAATTAAATCCTCCCATCAGCTGACTTGAGTGGTCTATTCAAGCTGTCAAAGTCCCTGTTTATGCATATCACCTGCCTCACCACCATCCAAGGGTCAACCTGACTGTTTTTCTTCATGGTTCGGGCTGTATTAATCTCTCCCTGCCATCACTTTTAAGTGCATGAAATAAGAGTCTTGATAAAAAACATAGATCTTTTTCCATTTATTCCCTACATATCCAATCATCCTGTTCAGGATCTGGGGAAAAACAAATCATATTCAAATGTATTCACAATATCTAACTATTCATATGTTGGTTGACATAACAAAAAAATAACAGTTACCAATGGAAGAAAAATTGATACATTAATCTAATACTTCAAATGTTGTTATGTTATTAAACTTACTTTAAATGATGCATTTAAAAGATATTTAATTACGTCTGAGTATTCTGTATTTCTGAATTTTGCTGTACAGAAAAATAAGATATAATTTGTTTTGTCTTGTCATGTTTACTAAAATGACACTTTCTGTACACAGCACCAAATAAGACGGATAATATGTGCATTGCCTGGTACTGCCTCTAATGGCCTTACTGCATGTAAACGATAACAACCAAAAGGAACTGAGGAGTCTCTAATGTAGCTGTCAATCACGTCAATCACTGCTTGTGAACTGCGGTCAAACTGTCAAACTAGGTAGCGCTGATCAAACATGAATCACAATTCTGTTACTGCATTGCCTACTTCTCACCTCAAATGTTTTTAGAAACATATTTAGTGTACTATTTAGAGAAAGTTGGTCTGGCTGGTGGGTGGTGCTGGGTACTTCAGTTGATGGTATCCAACATGGCAGCCAGGTCACAGAAGTTCTCATTTTACAGCTAAACAGTGCACTAAAATATGTTTCTGAAAACATCTGAAGTGAGAAATAGGCACTGCAGTAACAGAATTTTGCTTCATATTTGATCAGCGCTGCCTAGATTGACAGTTTGACTGCAGTTGACAGAGTGACTGACATGATTGACAGCTGTGTTAGAGACTCTTTGGCATTAATTGGTTGTTGCTGCAGCACTGCCATCTATTTCTAGTGAATGCCATCTGAAGCAGTTTTTTTTTTTTTACAAACTACCTGTTTCGTTTACTTTCCGAATATGAAGACAGTTTCAGCTAATATGACAAATGTTATTTTCACCAAAGTTACCAACTGTAGCTTTAAAAGCTTGTATTTGAAATTCATATTAATAAAATATCTAATATGTAATTTTATTCTCAAATAAGACGCATCTTTATCCCCAAGTTTAAAATATATTAAAAAACTGTACAACATTTGCCTAATCACAGTCTTTGGCTAAAGTCAGTCTTTATCTAAATACAACTGAATCACATGACATGTCCCATATTGAGGCTATAAAATGCCTAGAACATAATGTCAGTTTGTAAAATTATAAATTACTAAGTATCTAACTTTGATACATTTGATGAGCAAGTTTTGTAATTTGTAACAAATGCATTTGTGCCAATCTCTGTAAATGATTTCTTTTCATAATAAATTTCATTGCAAAGAAGGGGCAGGGTGATACTGCTATGATACTGTTACAAATATAAAACAATGTACAAGTTATAAATTGAACATGTGCTTGAACATAAACAAATTTAAAAACATAAATTGAATATTTAATTGTGTTTACTTTGTAAAAACTGAAAATCACATACCTGTCTGCGATATTTGTATAGTATGCGGCGGCCAGTGCCTAAATGGGCAACTCTGAGGAGCTGAAGAGAGAGAGAGGAAGAACACTAGAGATGAGCACTTCATTTTTAACATCATTAAAATGATTGAGTTGCTGATCAGACTCGAACACTACTCATTACAAAAAAGATTCATCGTGACTCCATCGTATAAGCCAGCCTGTCAATTGACCACTGGGACTTAAGATGCAAATGTAGGGCTGCCTTACAGTCACAGAAAAATATAATGTAGAACTACAGTGTCTGCTTATAATAAAAGAAAAAAAGGAAAACTGAACATCCTTTCATGTGATGCGAACTGCAGTTTTATTACACACACATGCACACACACACCTGGCCATCTTCAGAGTAGTCCACAGTAACAGAGGCATTGCTCTCTGGAGGGGTGTAGATGTTCCTGTAGTATCCTATGGATCGGATGGTCTGCATGGTGTGTCGAGCCACGCTGGGCATGGTGACTGCTGATAGACGGTCCCCTGAGTCATAGTCAAAGATGTACTGGTGCTGGCTGTGCAGCAGCAAGACCATGGACTGTAACAGAGAGAGGAGAACAAAGGGAAATATGTAACATGCCATCAGAGCAGTCAAAGACAGAAGCATAATCAGACACTGTACATTCACATAATGTTGTGGATAATTCTATTAATATCCATAAATAAATTCATATCAATATATATATAATTACTGGTTGGACAATGAGAAAAGTCTTCATCATATCAGGGAAGCGCTATAGTGAGAGGGAAAGATATTTGCTTAACCAAAGTCTGAATTTTTGTATTAAATATGCAGCTCCTGACACAGAAAATAAAAGTGATGTTTATCATCATTAACTTCATGGTCCCCCACACTGTGGCACATCCACATCAATCCACATTATAAATAAATGAGGGAATCAAGTATAATTGGCAGTATATCTTTCAATCAGCTTTTATTAGATGAATATCTTGATTATTTTGTACCATCTGCTGAGGTTGTGGCCCCTCCGGACCCTTATGCAAAATCCCTCCTGCATGAGAGTTAGACAGCTTGCCTTGCATTTTAAGTAGGGCTTTATTTGCAGCTCTCCTGGGACATTACCTGCCAGCTAAGAGTAGCTATTTAGCTGAAGCATAGTGGCATCTGTGCATGTGTGTTTGTTCTATAAGATCCATCCACATCACACCTGTGCCAGCCTTCTTTTCACGGTTAACAGTGCAGAAAGAATCAATTTGGAAGATTTTACTGTTTGTTTTTACGGCTCTTACTGGGCTGCTCTCTTTGTTTATTAGGGCCTTTAACCCTTCAGGTATCTGGCAGATCTCATAGGTAATCTTAAATGGAGCATTGCATTAGGTTGAGCAGAGCACTGCATCATCATTCGTGCTTTACCATCACAAGCTCATCAGCTTTTACATCCCGTCATAATTAAATCATAAATAGATTTAATCAGGTGGACTAATCTGCTGATTGACTCTTGCCAAGACTGCTGCTGCAGCTCCTTCCACCACTCCTACGCTCCCCTCCTTAATTTTCTGGCATTGTTGATATAACATAAGATGTAGTGTTCATGTATGTATTTCTTCAGCCCAGTATCCAAGAATCATGTTTGATTAAGGTCCAATGCCAGTGCAGGAGGCAAAATGCCCCTCATGCAGCAAGACAGAAAGAATGGATGTGAGGACCTAGCTCATCCTTTCACAGATCTGCAATGACGTATTCCCTTTTTATTGACCGTAACCACAATCCTTCCCCTAACTTTTAATTACCTAGCCCTAACCATAACTTAAGCATTATTTATTTACCATAACCATGACTTCTTACTAACTATAACCATGCCGTAGTTGGCATGTGCAGATATTACAGAAAGCAAGAACTTGGCACTTGAAAAAGCACAAATGAAATCCAAGAGTTGGAAGACCTGCATGTGGATTCCAACTTGTGAAGGACTAGGATGGGTTAGTGTATGTTAGTGTCCATCCATTATAGGGTATGTGAGTGGAAACACACTGACATGCTAATGTGCATTTGATGGCATCACCCAGATGTGCCTGTCACCAGGACGAAGATAAAGCAACCTGTATTTTGTATTTTCAGTTTCACAGTTTTCAGTATTGCAGCCTGTCATGACATGTTGCCTTTGTGAAAAGTGTTTGTTCAGTGTTCATACCATGTAATACAGAAGTGTTTGAGATGATCCTTACTTTTACAATAAAAATGTGCCAATGTTGTTGGTATGCTATTTCAGTCTCCAGCAATAGGGTTTTGTCTGTCTTTGACAATACTGGCAATACAGCTGGTTTTATAAGGAGGGTAGCAGCTCAGATTCTCTGAGAGCCCCTTTAGAAAGCAGAGCCTTTTGTAGCAAATGTCATTGTATAATCAATTTCTATCAATGGTCAATTCCTTAAAGCAAGTGATTCTGACTGAACTAGCTGCTGGCCATTACAAGGTTATCAACACTTCTTGCCTTTTGAAAAAATGCGAACATGTGTTTTATTAAAGTGCTTTATCAATACAAGTGACACATGTTGAGAAATGCTGGACTTGGTAGTTTAGCTTTCTACATAATAGATTGTTATTCAGAAATAACATTTTGTATTTGACTGAATAGCACTCATTTCTAACTCTGTCTGCCAGAGTCTAGTCCTGGTGATTGGGCTTTTGTGCAGTTTGTGGAACTGGCCCACATGTTATTAAACAGTCACACACAAAAGCACAAAGAAAGCAAGGGCAGTTATAAAACGACTTTGAAATGAGCAGCAAATGAATAGGCTATGGTCTGTACGTTCTCAATCAACCTTAGTAAAAAATGGCCAGCTTTTTCGATAATAGGCTGACATGGCAGCACAGGTCAAGGAAATAACATTCACGCTAAAACACGACAAAATCTTTGCTGGACATACATCTATAATACAATTGTTCTTAAACTTGGATGCCCTGTTACTTCATTTGTCTCATGGGCTTTTTTCACGCTGCATTGGCATTGAAGCCTGGGGCTCAGCACGCAAAGCTCTTCCACAGGATGAGAAAAACTGGACTTCTTTGTAGAATAATGTGACACCAATTGCCTCAAGTTGTTCAAAACAAAAGAAAAAACCATCACTTTCATAAATCCTCAGAGAACCTCCTGCACTGTGATTAGTAGTGGACGATAATCTGAAATGTGAGGGGAATGTAGATCTAAACCATTAAAAAGGACAGCGGCAACTCCTCTTTGTCTGGAAGATAAAAACATGAGCTCTCCCGGGTGTGTGCTCCTTGCCTCAGGCAGGCGGTAAAGATCACCTTGACCTCCAACTGAACAGGTCAGAGGAGTGAGTCTATTAAGCTGCTAAACTGGCTCATGAGAAAGTGAGAGTGTGCTTTTATTTGAATATTTGCTTTCAGCTCTTTCGCTGAATTAAACAGATCTGATAAGATGTATTATTGTGCATTAGTGTTTTTATGTCTTTAATACACCATGACATTAGGTTTATGTTGCCAGGAAGCAGCATGAGGCTGAGTTTAATTCTTCTCGAGTGGACTCATTTTGATTTTAATTTATCTGAAACTGTTAAATGGTTTATATCACCTACTGAGTGCGTCTCCTTTGTTATCTTTCACTAGGAATGCGTGTGGCTACTTGACTAGTCGATTATATAGACCTTTTAACTGTTAGTAAACAGTATGACATTTTTTGGCTGGCGGGGCTTAGCTGGAGGCAAAAATATTCTCCACAGACAACGGAAGAAGATGATGCGAGTGGTGCATTTAAAAATACTCATTCCGAGTGTTGGATTGTACTCTGGCACAAACTGGACCATTCATAAATGCAGAGCACTGTTGGAATGTACCTTTCGGTTATCCAGAGCACCGCTCTCTCTGAGTAGCAGAGTACTCTCGGCACTCTGTCTGGAAAGATGGAGCAGCAGAGCGCCCAGCGGCGTGAAAGTGTGATCGCTAAGCCGTTTGTTAATTCGTATAGAAATATAACACTCTGTTTCTTCGAGCAACAGGGCTCTCATTTTAGTGTAGAGCTTAGAATTTATGAATGCACCATGTCAGGTCATTTACTTTCCAGGACTGTGAGTTTAACACCCACCAACGGGACCAGACTGGCCGACCTGTATGCTCTCACTCAGTGGATGGTTGATTTGACAGGAAGCTTTGTGGTTGATCACTATGCCAATCTTACAAAGGAGGACGACACTTGAATGGTTTCTTCCAGTTTGTTTTGCTTTCAAAGCTAACGTTGGCTAATGTGCTAAAAAGATAGAGTTACAGAGAATGTTTGTCTTATCACATTAACCATAGCTGTCTTTGTTTTTGTTTACGGGCAGTGGTGGCTGGTATGCAATAATATTTCAATGTTGAGCCATGAGTCCGTCTGTTCTGGCTCCCAATGACACAACAACACGACATTTTAGGTCTCATATGAAGCCAACAGCCCTGTGGTGGCGAGTTATGTTTTGCCTCCAGCTAACAAACTGATGTCATTGTGATATTGGCCCTAAAAGGGTGTTTTTTATTCGATTGGATTCACCCAGTGAAAGTGCCTAAAGATTTATTTTCCAAAATGTTTCAAATGTTATTTGTTGACTTCTATTTAGTGAGCAGTTGTCATGTTTTGTAGGATAATATGCAGTGTTCATAATGCACAGTGCAAAGTGCCACACATTTAAGCAGCATTTAAAATATATTTGTTTTTTAAAAGGGTGATTAGCTAACAATTTCAAATGGCTTTTAGAATATAGTGTTTTATTACTTTTAGATTAATCAGCTCGTCTAAGTTTTAACTTTGGTATAAAGTTAGGTTGTAAAGAACATCTCTAGCTTTTACCTTTGTGTTTTCTTGTTTGTAAGACCTATTATTTCCTAGGACAACAAAGATATTGAGCTGTAATTGATTACACTACTTAGAGCAGTATCAGGGAAATACATGCGCATACCACCCAATTAACTGTGCTCATGGTGTTCATCATAAATTATAGTATATTTGATCCATATAGATGCCGTTATGATGTTGTATGT